GGTAAACCCTGAAATCACACCACAACAACAAACTGATGTGTCCTTGTGCCCTTCAGGCATTGAGCAGAGCATCGAACAAGAGGAGGGGCTGAACAGGTCATCGGCCGACCTGCGGATAAGGAAAACCCAGGTGAGCCTCTAAACAGGGAGCTGAGGGGCAGCTCAGGGGTCCCAGAAGTGCTGGGAGAGGAGGCCTGTGTAGGGAGATAGAATGTAAGAAAATAAAGATCGTGTATAAAGTAATGTTACCCCTAAGGAGTTGCAGCTGGGCCAATTATCAAAGATAGGAGCAGGCCTGACTTGAGCAGGCCACAGCTGTGACCAGTGAGAAAAAGATGTTATAAAAGAGTGGGGTGGGTGGGTGAGAAAGGAACTGGAGTCAGCTGGCTGCTTTATGAAAAAGAAAGAGTCAGTGCTCTGAGGAGCTGTCCATAAGAAACACCAAGATTATAAAAGAATAGAAGAGTTCTATTGAAATAATATATTATAAAAGAGTAGAATATATATTATATTAGAATAACATATAATTGATTCTATTGAAATTATATATTTTAAAATAATAGAGGAAAGGATTTCATCAGAAGGCTAGCAAGGGGAGGACAGGAATGATAATAAAATCTTGTGACTGACCAAGTCTGAGACAGCTGGACTGTGATTGGCCATTGATTCCAAACAACCATATAAGACCAATCCCAGATGCACCTGTTGCATTCCGCAGCAGCAGATAACCATTGTTTACATTTAATTTCTGAGGCCTCTCAGTTTCTCAGGAGAACAGATCCTAGCCAAAGGATTTTTTATTAAACATGTCAGTGCCCCTCTGAGCCCGCTGTCCCCTTGTGTCCCCCCAGCACTCCACGCTGTCCCGCAAGTTCGTGGAGGTGATGTCGGAGTACAACGCCACGCAGACCGACTACCGGGAGCGCTGCAAGGGCCGGATCCAGCGGCAGCTGGAGATCAGTGAGTAACCCACCCTGCCGTGGGGCACTGCTGGGCTCTGTGGGCCATGTCCTCTACACTCCCAAGGGAGCAGAGCTGCTGCTGTCTCGGTTTGGATAGACAGGAGTCTGCTAAGGAAGGCAGGAGCCTCCCCTGAAATGGAGAATTTAAACCCTCCCCCACCCCTGTGAATTGTTATAAATTTTAAATTAAGGGCTCTGAAGCAAAAATGGATACTGCAAATATGGGAGCAGGAAATAACAGTTCTTTAATAGGGAAAAGAAAAAAAATAAAAGGATAAAATAAACATTGCAGTACACTAGAACA